TTTACCATTGAAGTTTAATGTAGCAACATACATTTTCAACGGATCACAAACTTATTGATACTAAGACAACGTAAACCTTGGACTTAATTAATACCTCTCTGAACTCAATAACATGGTTTAGGACTGCAAGAGACTACTTTAATATTTACGGGTAAGTAGCAAACAACTGCTTGATACGGTTTTGTCTGATTACCATCTAAAGAATCATTGGCTTCGAATGTAATGTAGAGTGTGATTCCAGCAGATGGGTGATAATTTGCTCTCAAAACCTTGAAAAATTCCAAGCTTGTATCCTACCACAACCACATAACCAATATAGATTCGTAAATAGATTCATCAGCAAACAAGAACAAAAAAAGTCGCAATTTTTCATATGTAATTACTAAAATATATAAACCTTCTCTTCGTTGTAGTAAGAGATAGCCATGTTACAAAACGTTTTGAGCCAATCTCTGTTGGTCTCATCATCGGTATCAGGATAAACAAAGTCATCGTCTTCGAGATCCACAGATCCGGCACCGAATGTGTCACGGAGTTTCGAGAAGTCGACATCAAAACCCTGAAGAAAAAAACCAAACATGAAAAACCCATAACCATAAAAATCAAAACTTTTGGACAAAACAGAGATTTCACAAACCCCGCTCTTTGTCCACTCTTCATCAAAACATCGAAGATCACCATCTGGATCAAAATTAAATTTGCATGGTTCCTCTAATTTGAGACGCTGAGGGGAAGGAGGCTTGTGTCTCTTATTCTCAATCGCTGAAGTCATCGTTGAAACAAGAAGAATCGAGAGGGGGATAAATCATGAAAACGAGCCCTAAACCTTTTCTTTTAATAAAACGAACGAACCCTAACTTGTGGCCCACAACCCGCGGGCCAGGTCCAACTAGGTTCGTCATGGAATAGCCATTGCGTTACATGTTGAAGAATTGATGAAAATCCCTTTTCACCTTGGGAAAACAAATTATTTCAAAAGACATAAATAAAATATTAGTTTTTAAAGCATTAAAATATTCATTTCAGAAATGAAAAGTTATTCTATAAAAGT